AGGGTCATCCAGTACTTCGCCGTCATCGCCGCCATCGGTGACCGCGGCAAGAAGGAGGCGGGGAGCCCGGGCAAGGTGAGGGGTGGTGGAACATCCTGGGGCTGCTCGGTGCTCCTCACCCCTCTGTCCCACCACCCACCTGGCCACCCCACCACCCATCTGTCCCACCACCCAACATCTGACCACCTAACCGACCACCCACCTGACCACCCAACATCTGACCAACCACCCAGCCAACCACCCAGTCAACCACCCAAGCACCCATCTGTCCCACCACCCAACATCTGACCACCCAACCTTCCGACCAGCCATTTGACCAGACATCCAACCAATTGCCCAGCCAAATGACTCAACCATCCACCCAACCCACCATCCAACCAACTGCCCATCTGACCACTCAACCATCCATCTGACCACCCATCCACCCAACCATCCACCCAACCACCTATCCAAGTGACTACCCAACCGACCACCCATCTGACCACCCGTCCAACCAACCATCTCACCACCCATCCAACCAAACATCTAATCATCCAACCAATCATCCAACCATCCATCTGACCAACCATCCAACCATCTCACCAACCAACCATCCAACCACCCAACCACCCCTTGTCCCACCCCACCAGGGCACCCTGGAGGACCAAATCATCCAGGCCAACCCCGCCTTGGAGGCCTTCGGCAACGCCAAGACCGTCCGCAACGACAACTCCTCCCGATTCGTGAGTGGCGGTCTGAGGGATGTGGTGGGATGTATGGGGCGGGGCAGGACCTCCTAGGAGAAGGTGGCCACCTCCACCCGGCGCTGCTCCTCTCCCAGGGGAAGTTCATCCGGATCCATTTCGGCGCCACCGGGAAGTTGGCGTCGGCCGACATCGAGACCTGTGAGTTGTCCACCGCCCCCCACCCGTCCATCTCCTCCTCCTCCAACCTCCCCCCACCCACCTTCTCCCCACCCCAGACCTCCTGGAGAAGTCCCGCGTCATCTTCCAGCTGAAGGCTGAGAGGAACTACCACGTCTTCTACCAGATCCTCTCCAACAAGAAGCCGGAGCTGCTGGGTGAGTCACGTTTCCCACCCCACCCATGGACCTTTGACCTCGCGCCCTCGTCCCAACCGCGTCTTCTCCTCGCAGACATGATGCTGGTGACCAACAACCCCTACGACTATGCCTTCATCTCCCAAGGAGAAACCACGGTGCCCTCCATCGACGACAGGGAGGAGCTCCTGGCCACAGACGTGAGATGGAGGGCCACCATCTCAGGGTGGGGGTGGCCACTTGGAGAAGACCTTCACCCATGTTTTGACCTTGCAGAGTGCTTTTGATGTCCTGGGCTTCACCCAAGAGGAGAAGAACTCCATCTACAAGCTGACGGGCGCCATCATGCACTTCGGCAACATGAAGTTCAAGCAGAAGCAACGGGAGGAGCAGGCAGAGCCGGACGGCACTGAAGGTGGGTGGTCAACCGGGCAGTCACGGGGTGGGATTTGAGGTCAACTGCATGGTCCTCCAAGGTCATGTCTTCTCCTCTGCAACCTCAGAGGCGGACAAGTCAGCTTACCTGATGGGGCTGAACTCGGCCGATCTTCTCAAGGGCTTGTGCCACCCCCGGGTGAAGGTGGGCAACGAGTACGTCACCAAGGGGCAGAACGTCCAGCAGGTGAGGAGGACATCCCCCAAAACGTCCTTCTTTTGGGGTGACGCAATGTCACCCCAGCCAAGGAGGATATGGAGAACCCGAACATTCTTCTTCCAGGTGATTTATGCCGTCGGGGCCTTGGCCAAGGCCGTCTATGAGAAGATGTTCAACTGGATGGTGACCAGGATCAACAACTCGCTGGAGACCAAGCAGCCACGCCAGTACTTCATCGGCGTGCTGGACATCGCCGGCTTTGAGATCTTCGATGTGAGGCCTGGTTGACCCCGTTGCGTTGTGCCCATTGAGTGTTGAGTTCACCCCGTTGATTCCATTGGATGTTCTGTTGACCCCATTGCATGTTCCATTGACCCCATTGACCACATTGAGCATCGCCTTGACCCCATTGGGTGTCCAGTTGACTCCGTTGATCCCATTGGGCGTCACGTTGACCCCCTTGACCATCCCTTCCCTCCCCAGTTCAATAGCTTCGAGCAGCTCTGCATCAACTTCACCAACGAGAAGCTGCAGCAGTTCTTCAACCACCCAATGTTCGTGCTGGAGCAGGCGGAGTACAAGAAGGAGGGGATCGAGTGGGAGTTCATCGACTTTGGCATGGACCTCCAGGCCTGCATCGACCTCATCGAGAAGGTACCACCTCCCCCAGGGCCTCCAGGGGCTCAGGGGGCTCCTGGAGAAGGAACCTTCCAGCCGGAGCTTGCCAGGGACCCCAAAGGTGGCTGGTTGGCTTGGGTTTGGTGTCCACCATGGCTGATGAGGTCTTCTCCTCCCTAGCCCATGGGGATCATGTCCATCCTGGAAGAGGAGTGCATGTTCCCCAAGGCCACGGACATGACCTTCAAGGCCAAGCTCTTCGATAATCACTTGGGCAAGTCGGCCAACTTCGGGAAACCACGGAACATCAAAGGGAAGCCAGAAGCCCACTTCGCCCTCATCCACTATGCCGGCACGGTGGACTACAACATCATCGGGTGGCTGCAGAAGAACAAGGACCCCCTCAACGAAACGGTGGTGGGGCTCTACCAGAAATCGGCCCTCAAGCTCTTGGCCAACCTCTTCGCCAATTACGCCGGGGCTGATGCACGTAAGGGGACATCCTCTTCCCCAGGATCCGAGGTTCTCCCCACCAAATCTTGACCTCTCCCATCCTTTCTTCTCCACAGCCGTGGAGAAGGGGAAAGGGTCCAAGAAGAAAGGTTCCTCCTTCCAGACCGT